GAAAATCCAAACTCATCTACAGAATGTCTTAGAATGTCAACACACTGTTGCTTTTGAGGAGAAAGGTTGAGGGCGGTTGGTAAAAGCTGTGGTAGGAGGGCTGCGTTTGTCAATCCCAAGGCTTCAGTCTCCAAATGTGTGTGGCCAGCAGAAGTGGGAAATCCCCACAGAGTCTGGAAACAGTACTAGATCATCTGCATAACATTGTATTAATTAATATCTGTAGCTTATCTATTAATGATTACTAAAAAATATTATAAATGAATAGTGTTTTCAGTTATGGGTGCAATATTTTTTGGTGTGATTTTATACTGACCCAGGAAAATCAGGTGCTGGAGCTGGACTTGGTCCCATGACCAAAGTGTGGTACAGGAAAGAGCACATCTAATTTCTGTGTGGGTTCTACTACTACTTGGATAGTAGGAGTTTTACCCAATTGTTGCTGCAGACAGGGGGCGACACAGTCACAGTCTTTAATTAATGGTGAGCCACTGTTACCTCTTTCTGTTTTGTATTTATTGTTTGAACTAAAGAGTTGATCCTCTAGTTGGGGCCCACCCCCCACTTTGGGGACAACTAGTTGAAGCTGCCCCTGTTTTCCATTTTATTCGTACACTCAAAAGTATAACGTCATATAAACTGTAATGTCATTTTTAAACACTGCCTCCTACTGTTGCCTTTAGCACAAAAGGCTGAAAGGCAGTGGAGAGTAAATACAGTAAACTCTCAAATCCTCCATGTACAGCTTTGTACTCTGATGGAGCCACATACTTCATGTTTATCACTATCTATACGGCAGGTGATGTGATTTTCTGATAATAAGAAGCAGTTTGTTCTCAGTTCCAAGCGACACTTATTTTTACAGAACACATAAATAATGTGGTTGTTGCTCTTCGTCCCCCTTCAGCCTGTTTCCAGATGTAACTGCTGGGGGCCTTGGAGTTACGGAGACATTCCGAGTCTTTCAGGAAACTGCGGTAAATTGGTCACAGATTGATATGGAGGAATTATAATCCAATTACTGGGTGACTGCGTGAAATGGGAGATATGAAGCTAATTTCATTCATTTTCTATCTCAGTGTTTTTACTGCGGTACAGCCGAGGAGAAATTGACTGAAAAATTTCTTACACATATCTTTAATGTTCTCCAGGCTGCAGCGGCAACGCTTCATTAACCTTTGTCATTTTCAAACCTTTTAGCTCTCATTATTTATAATCTCACTCTTATTCTGCTGTCCCTGCTTACCCGCACACACACACACAGACGGCTTCACATTGACGCAGTTCATTCTCCAGCTATTTGTCCAAACCGTATACAAACATACATACATACAAATATATGACAAATTTGAATCCTCATCAAACTATAATCTCAATTTAAATTTCGAAGCCTAATCTTAAACCTTAAAATACTCACGGACGACAACGTGTCGTATTAGGTGTAGTATATCTAGCTCTACCAGAAAACACATACATTCACATGCACACACATACATACATTACACACATGGACACACACTTTTCTGATTGAACTTGTCAGCATGAGGCTCAAGCATGTGAACACCTGCCATTAGTGGTGCATGGACTGTTGTTACTGCAACTGACCAGCGGGGCTGCTGTTTCCCTACTGAGCGCTGACAAATGACTTGATATTGTGAGGCCGTGGACTATACACTGGCATACAGATGAGGGTGGTGAGTGTGTGTTTTCTCATTCACACAGAGTGTGTCCACACGATAGGCCCACTCAGATTGTCCTGCCAAAGGCCACAGCTGAACCAAATGTAAACCCCAGTGTGAATCACAGCGGAGGAGCCGCCTTAGTCAAACAGCATAACAACGTATCGACCTGTTTACAATAAAGGCAGAACAAAAACATATCAGATCAGTCCTCACTTAGAAGTGTAAAAACTCAAAAATAACCTGAGGTAAACATTTTCTAAATCATTTTCTAATTACTGCATTTTCTAATTACTGCTTTTTTAACATCAACAACGCCCTTGTTTGTTTTTATTTGATTAAAGAAGTTAAAAAATAAGTTTAATAATTATTGATTTCTCTAAATAAAATATCCTTATCTGACAAAGTGAACAAAGTTTGTCATTTCAAATCAGTCCGGCTGATGATTGAATTGATGAATAGACATCCATGTCGTGTTAAAGAACAGAAATGATAGTTTTTCATCTTTATTTGTCTTATAACTTATAATTACAGACTCATGGTACAATTACATTTATTACGTTCAACAGTAGGTGACGTGTTTGGCTCTGAACCCTATCATCTGCTCCATATTAGGTCGGCTATACTGTTTGTCTGTAACAGGACTGTTGTAGCTAACATTAGCTCCGATGTTTCTACCAATACTGTTGTAGCTGGCATTAGCTCAGGTGTCTATGCTCAAAGTACTGTGTTTAATAGTCAAAACGACTGGAATTTGCTGCAGCTTTTACTGCTACAGGCACAAGTCACCCTTGAAGAAAGGAAAATAAAATAAAAAAACTTCTGTAACTAAGTAGTGTCATCTTATACATGTCTTATAGTTTAGTAATACTTATTTGTAACTCCTAACAGTATGTATTCAGGAAAAGACATGCAGGAGTAATTTTTGCCATTTTTAACCATAATTTATCTTTTCATAAAACATATTTAAATGCTTCCTCTGTTTTTGTAACGCTGCTGCTGACAGAGAGATGAGCCAAAAAATACAACCACCTGGATGGATGACATTTTAAATCTTCAGCTCCCGCTTCTTGCTTCGTAATAATTCACTATAACTGCTGTCGAACTTGGCAGCTTTTACAAAAATGAGTCCAATAAAAGTCGACATTTTTGAGCATTAATGTTCTGGTGATCCGGTGGTCAGACGTCTGTCACAGGGAACAGTCACCAAGACTCCTGCATCTGCAGTTCTTTACTCTTCTGACACCAACAATGACCTGGAGGGTTCAGAGGTAGACACCTCCACTATGCCAAGCCAGTCTAATGACCTTTAAAGACTCATCAGCCCAGGTTCTGGGTGTGGCCTTTGTCTTGGTCTGATTTAGACTCTTTTTAGACTCTCTGGGTTTTTCCACCTTCTCACTGTGAAGCTAATCACCACGGGCTGACTCAGGAGGAGGGGAGCGTGGGAGCTTCGGCCTTCCAGCCGTGCTCCGTTGGCGCGGTGTTAATGTTTGGGGTGTGAATAGGTTATGTTTTAATGATGTCACAGCCTCTGCTGATGACTCTGGTGTGGTGCAGGTTCTTAGCTTCACTGAGACTGATGGTTTGGAGACTGTTCACGTCACCTGCTGTGGAGCCTGTGGCTCTGTGTGTGGAGGAGAGCAGCAGAGGAATCAGACAGAGAAGAAGCTGCTGAGGCTCTGAACTGCTGATGCTGCTGTCAGTACGAGGGTTTTAAGTTTAAAGTGATACTGACTCCTGCTTCACTGGTACATTTTATGATTCAGCAAAAGATGCTGACTGAGGACTTCCTGAGCATTGACTCTCCTGACGTGATGGAACTTCAGTCAATATGCAACGGTAACAAAGGCTTAGGGTCAGTACCTTCGGATGCCGCTACTGTTTGCAGACGTATGGATTGATAAGTATGTGTGTGTATTAAAGCCAATTTAAATACATGGTCACCTTAAAACTTCATGACACCTGCTGTTAAAAACCTGATGTTCTTCGGGTTATCTGGCTTCCTCCTACATTCCAATGTGGTGGAGATTGGGGATCAAGTTAACTCCAAAGTGACCAAAGGTGTGACTTTGAGTGTGAATGGCTTCTTGCCTTTATATGTGACCCTGTGATAGACTAGCTTGAGCTCTGCCACCAGCCTAAAAAGAACACACAATAAAGCAAGGTCATCAGTTAGAGCAGGGAATCAAACTGGTGACTATCTTGCAGTAAGGCAGATATTCGGTGATATCGTAAGAATGAGTTCAGACTGTACAGCATTAACTGCTGTACGTGCAGATAATCGTGAAACACCGAGCTGACACACTGATAAATAAATCAGGCTTCATCAGCATATGTGAGACAGTAGGTATAAAGTCACTTTAACTGTGGATGGTTGATGCACACACTCACAGTGAGGGCGTGTGCATGTGTGTGTGCGTGTCTCTAGTCATTCCAATTTCTGCCGTTCACGTCTTCCTTCATGCTCGCTGCTTCGGCTCAGTCAGGCCTTGAAAGCACTAATTTCCCATGAGCCCCTTCCTTTTCTTAGACGTCCAACATTTTATAGCCAATTTCTGGCACAGGGAGAAAAAAAAATCACAGACACTGGCAGATAATATCAGATGCAAATATAATTAAACAAGTGAATCCCTGTTCACACAATAACTCTTTAGATAAGGAGAGTTTACTGAGCCACTTAAACATACACATGCATATATGTACATACACTCAGTGGCACCGCTGTTTGTATTTGAACAAGCAAACTGAAAGACTTTAGGTCTTTTATAATGTACTAAAAAATAATGTTCATGTTGTTTTTCCTGCAGCAGCCATTTGCTAATAAAATGTTTTTTTTATTGCTGAGGTTCTGGTGGTTCTGACACAGAAGGGTCGTGGAGTGCGGTGAGCTGTGACCATAGATGTTAATTCAAAACAAACCTCAAATTTTGTTTTAGTCCAAACCACGACTCTCACCATTAACCTCCGCTGAAGCCTCGGAGATCAGGTTCTGATTCATTAGGGTCAGGTTCTGGTTCCAGTGTGAGTCCCTGGTGCTGTCACAGTCAGCATTTGTACCAGAGCTTAACTCACGAAGAGCTAAGAGAAAGAGTTAGTCATCACAGAGGAGCAGGACACAGGAAGTCAGCTGCAGCGTTAACACCACAGGTTTACGACTAAAGTTGGAACGAGTTTCTCAGCGGACCCGACCGTCCATTTGTCACAGGGTTTCTTCAGCGCAGAGTCAGAAAATCAATGTTGATTTGTTCTGTTACACGCAGGAAAGCAGCTGACGCCGACCTTCATTCATTCTCTCACTTGTCTTCTCCCTGGGTCCAGATCATGTTGCTGACCGATCCGGAGGTGGAGAGCAGCCTGCTGATCAGCTCCGACGAAGGCGCCACCTACCAGAAGTACCGTCTGAACTTCTACATCCTCAGCTTGCTCTTCCACCCGGAGCAGGAGGACTGGATCCTGGCCTACAGCCACGACCAAAAGGTTAGGAAACACACGGGGCACGGTGTCGGGGCAGGCGAGCGTTCAGTCAGATCACCAACAATCATCTGGAGGTTGTTGTGCCTCCGAGCCTTAAAACTGTCGTATCAGTGAGAGATCCTGTTAAACAAGAGTTGGCCTCAGAGCATGTGTGGAGACTTCATAAAAGAAAGGTCAGAGAGAGGGAAGTGTTGGATTGACAGTGAAACTTTCTCATCGCGCTTCTCTCATTATCTCACTTTGACTTCACCTTCTTATTCAGTTATTATTCAAACAGTCTAAGTGATTCCAAAAGTTTATTTAAAATTATTATGTATTCTGCTTTTATTCAGTTGAGTAAAGGTTTAAAAAAATATTTGAAATACTAATGGAAATTTGCCGTTGCCTTTGTGGTACTCTCCTTTGAAAAGTCTTGTATTACAATAATATTGAATTAGATTTTTTCAGTCAATTGATGAGCCGTCTGTCAGATTCAGCCCTACTGTGATTCTCAGAGACGGATTCAGTGGCTGCTGAATAAATGATGGTCTCGTATAAGAAGCTGTAAAACAGAGGGAGGAATATTTAATATATATGTTAGTCAGACGCAGAGGGGAGAGGAAGAAGAGGAGGAGAAATTTATCAGCATTTTAGAAATGACTGCGTTCATTAATAAAAATTCTCCTCTCTCAGCTCAGCCTGTTTGGAGCTAACGTTTCAGATATGATGAATAATGAAGACACGCGCGCACACACACACACACGCACCTCTACCACAGTAATGTAGCTCCTGTGTGATGGTTCTGCCTGAAGCCATAAACAAAACCCTATTATTAATTCATTAAATGACACTGAGCGGATGCTGCGTTTAATGAGTGCATTATAGGGATAGTTCAGGGTTTTTGAGCTGGAGCGTGCGGCGGTGACACCGACAGCTTTCGCATCTGGTCTCACAGCACCTGCTCATGAAGAAGAAGAGGAAGAATCATCCTTTTGGCAACTCTTCGTAGCACAGACATTTTTATGAGTAAATATAATTTTAACTCTTCTCTGGGGGAAGTGTGGGCGCTCTCCGCATCCCACGGAGAGTAGAGGATTCTTTTGGAGCTTGTTCAACACACTACAGCCAGGGTGGGATTTGAACTTGCAATCTTCTGGTCGCCCTAAATAAAATTGTGCTTCTTCAAAGCTGTAAAACAAGGAGCTGACTTATGAAGTGAGAACAGTGTGTCAGACATATGACAGTAGTTTGTCAAACCCTGGGGCAGCCACACTATTTACACTTGATTCCTTACTGCAATGGTGCCCAACCCCAGGTTCATGGACCGGTACCAGTACATTTGGTACTGGTACTGGGCTCCAGTGCAACATAGTGAAAAGTTAAAGGTGTCTGGTAATATTAAAAAATATATTATTATTTTTAAAATGAATTTTTAGGTTTTAAGTTTTAAAATTAATACAGCAGCGGTCCTCAACATCGGCTCTGTGGACCCTCTTAGGGCCCCCAGTTAACGTCATCTTATTTCTGATCCTCTCACAAAACGACACACACACACTGAACTCCATCAGTCCATGTGGTGGGTGAGTCTAACAGGTGAAAGCAACTGTGGATTTGTTCCCTGTCTTCAATGTGCCAACTTGGCTGACCACCACCTCCCCCCCACCCCTGCCCTCCCTGCCCCCCCCCCTCCCTCCCCCCCCTGC